CAAATCTGTCAAATCATAATTGGCCAACTCAATGTAAATGGACTTGAAACTATATAACTATCAACCCTACTTATATACTAACTAGGCTAGAGTTGTTATGGTTTTTTCAATTTTATTTATATAAATATCGGTATAAATTTATATTGTACGTAGAAGGGTGCACTCATTTTCTTACAATTTTTTTTGTACTTTTGTGAATGTCGGTAGTAATTTTCTAACGTTAGAATAATAGCTAAACTAATATCTTAAAAAAAGTCTATGAGCTGTAAATATAATACTTCACAACAACAACAACGTTGGTCAACGTCATCTGAATATCTGATGATCTTTAACAATTATTACGCTAATTTTGCATGGTATATATACCAATAATATTATTTAGTCTCCGCCAAGTGCACAGCGCGTTAGATAAAGATCGACAAGACATGTTATGCTAATTAATTGGACTAATCGGACACAATTTAAAATGGAAAAGAGAATTTTTTTAATGAGAAAAATTAATCATCACTGTACGAGAAATCAAGAATATGCATTGAATAAATTTCACTTTTTACTTGTAAATCGCACAAAAATAAATAAATCACATTAAGAAGATCTTGTGCAACAAGTTCGACTGAGACAATGTTCGAAAAAAAAATCATACTTTTAATCTCTGAGAATTAAGGTGGACAAAAATGATTACATCAATCTATTAATTATAAGGGGTGAGATGGTAAATTGATGTCACACTTAATTATATATTAGGGTGACAATGACTTTGTGGTCTAGCGGCATGAAGTGGTTCTTTCCCAATTTGGAGGTCATGGTTCGATTCTTAGTGGGAGCAGTATTGGCTCTTTGTGCTTCGGTGATGTGAGGCTATTTGTACATGTTCTATGTGTTGGGTTTAAGTTCATGAAAATGTTGCTTTAATTGCATATTCCATTGTTGTCTTGTTAAGAATTGGTTTTACCCTTGTTTTGTGGTAGGAACAAGTGTACTTAGATTTTGATGATATCAATCTTGCTAGGATCATAGACCCCTCTTTTTATTTTCTTCATCTTGGATCTTTCGTGTTAAACGAAAGAACTAGCAACTCACCATGTGATTCGTAATGTGCAATACATCTACACGAATCTTAGTTGTATTTAGTACAATAAGTCTACGAGAAGAAATGAAGAAGAAGAGAAGACCGAGAGAACAACATAGACCGAAAGATGGAAGGGTCTAGCTCTCGTGTAAATATCAAATGATAAGGAAAATCATTTGATCAATAGAGATAACGAAAGATAAAGAGAATCTTTCGTCTGACAATGCCGAGACCATTAATTCTAAGTCAAACTTAAATAGACAACTTTAATACACGATCAAGAAGAATATTGTCTATGTCTTGCAGCTGGCAATCATCCTAGACAAAAGGAGTCCTAGGAATGATATACACCAAAACCAAGGAGCATTAAATGATTGGTACTTCATGTAAGTGAAAAAGGAAAAAAAGTCATGTTGTTTTTTGCCACCAACGACTACACAGTACAGCCGCAATAAATGCTCCATGCCCAGTGGACAATGCACGCTGGTTAATAGGTTTGAAATTTCATCTCCCTCCAACGGATGAATTTCTCATCACCTATAAATACCTCTCTTCACCACTAAAGAAGGGGCTGGTTGTTTAACTAATTTTATCCTAAGAGAAGCTCTTCAAACAAGTTCATCCAAAAAGCTTTTCTAAAACCAGTGTAACACCCCTAAAAACATGCTATAAAAAGCCTTAAAACATGCAGATAACAGAACTAAACAAATAACACAGCGGAAGTCTTAATGATAGATAGATAAGTAAAGTCTGAAACACAGGGTGTTATGCCACGTTCACCGTAAGGATGAACGCACAGGCAATATCTGCAATGTTTACAACTAGTCCCATAAGTTCAAAGTTCTAAGACTAAACAGGCTCACAGGTCATAACAAGAGAGGGGAAAACTATGCTAGCAAGCACTAGACCGCGCACTCACTTAGACATCACCTGAAAGAACACAATAAAACATGGGACGACGCCCGGTCAGCGAATAATGCTGGTAACCCACCAATACTTGTGAAATAACATACATAAGTAAGATATAAGTTGTAAAGCCATTTTCGAAACGGAATACATACATATATATATATATATATATATATATATATATATATATATATATATAAGTGTAAAACCAAGAGTAATAGCCAACATAAGACTCAACACTCTCAACAATAACATGGGAACACATCCCAAGACCACAAGGAACAACATGACTCACAAGAAGAGTCAAGGCATGATCTATCATCACACAATAGATCAAAACCCGACATGCACAACGCAAAGGAATAAGGCTCACCCAACAGCAACACATGCCTTTGTGACTACACACGTCACAAGAGAAGAACTCACAACAATGGCTACACGAGCCCTCGTAAGTCGTAACATCACCCGTCACGAGTTGATATGCCTTCCTTATGCCCGGTTCCAACCTTATGGCTACCCCCAACCTTATTTCTTCTTCCATCCATTACCTCCAGGACCCCTGTACAACCAAGTCCAACCTTATCCCTCCGAGGACCGTCGTCCCCATCTGCCAACGACCGCCAACGAGACCACCAATTTCATAGTACACGAGGGTACCGTACACACACATGGCAACACATGCCCTGGATAACACATGTTATCCCAGAAATAATCACGTGAACCTTACACAAAGGCCACAAACTCCATAATGACGTCACGGCCACCACGAGGACCGCTGCAATACCTTGGTGACTAGTGTCCCATACCACTAATCGTGCAATCCAGGTAAAGCCACACACACATCACACCTCAACGGGAATCAATCAATGGATCACAACGAAGGTATGAAACATACTCAATCAAGGAATGGGTCACAACCCAACAACAATGATGAATAACACAAGTTATCATCAACCAATCGGAAGGTACAAACAACACACACGCTAGCATTTAAACACCGAACTAGCATGCTCATCAAACGGGTAAACAAAAGGTAGTTCCGAAGAACACACAAGACTCATCACGGTTCAACGAAACACAATGTTGAACACTTGGCACGATTCAAGACACCAAAGACGTACACGGATACCTACCACATTGTTCTAGACATACGAAACATCAAGAAGACACTCAAATAGTTCCACAAAAGATCATCGGGAAGTCAAAAGACCAAATACCGAGTCAAAAGAATCACGGGGAACAAATCCGATCCCCAACATCATCATAACACGTACCCGCAGGTAGGCCCATGGGTAGGCCTCTACCCGCGGGTACAGGCTGCCCACATAGTGTACCCCGCGGGTGGGCGGCGGGTTGGATCCCTACCCGCCGTTCCGCCCGCGGGTACACCCCTGTACCACAACAAAACACTTCGCGGATTTTCATCTCCAAACTCAAATTCAAGTCCAAAACATGCCAAGATCACCCAATACAACAAAATGACTTGAATCATAGGAAATGCCAAGCAATGACACAAAAGAACCCTAAACACAAGCTCTAGATATGCATTTTCACAAGACAATGCATAAACACTCACATTTCATAACAAAAACACAAGTAGAATCCAAGAAATCACATATAGGTAAGCAAAATAGATTTTGTAGAGCATGGGTTACCTCTTGTAGACTAAAGACTTCACTTTACACCTTAATAAGCTCTTCTCAAGGCTCACCTTCCAAACCCACTTCAAGAACAAACCAAAAGATCATAAAGATCCTACCTTTAAGAAAAGACACCTAATATGAAACCAAAAACACAAGATGAACTTAGATCTTACCCTCCTAGATGCCCAAATATAAGAAAGGTTGAATCTTGGAAGCAACTCTTGAAGTCTTGGCAAGGCTCCAACTTGGCTTGGAAGAAAAGCTACTCACATTTTTAGAGAAAAGGTAGAGCTAGATTTTTAGAAAGTGTAAGGGATAGAATGAAGATGGTCTACTAGGTTAGGTTACAATACTAACACCATGTGAAAGGTCAAGAATGCCCTTACTAACATTAGGAAGTGTAAGGGACAAGGGAACTCCCTTCAAAGCTCAAGGTACAACTTTGACTTTGGGGTTGACTAGTCAATTACTAGTCCCCAAGTATTAAATTTTCAGGATTTAGGAATTAATTCACCAATTGAAATAGGATTAATTACTCAATTAATCCATTAATTGAATTTGGATTTTGGGGTGTCACAACCAGTGTCTATGATTGTGAAGTTTTCAAAGAAGCTCATCCAGATCATTCTCTTCACAATCCTCATAGAAGTCTTGCATCTTTACAAGAAGATTCATCCGATCATCAAGTCAAGACTTCAAGCTGTTGGAGAAACACATCAATTCCATCCAACACTCAACTCTGAAGAAGAAGTTGATAGAGGCGGAGTAAACTCTAGGAGTTGAAAAACCTTTCAAGTAGTTGTCCGGCTTAGTGATCAAGGAAGCTAGCTTGAGTAGTTTAATTTGTACTAGGAGTGATAATGCAAACCCTTTCACAAGTTTTGAAAGAAGAGTGGAGTAGGCTTTGTTAATAGCCGAACCACTATAAAAATACCTCTCTCCATCTCTCTTTGCTTTCGTATAACTATCTATCTGGCATTGCATGCACATTGACCATACCTTAAACTTTCATAACGAAATCGTGCAAAGTTCATCTTAAAACGTAGATACAATTTCCGATGTGCATAACCCTGAAAGGAGTTAATCTGAAAAATCGATTAGAGTGTATTCAACCCCCCTCCCCCCCCCCCTTTTCTAAACTCACTTTCGACCCTACCGGGACCAACAAGTGGTATCAGAGTGGTTACCTTGAACGGTAAATGTTTTGTTTTTACTGCCTAGTAGATCCCTTTTTGAAAATCCCTATAGAAAATTATCATTTTTCAACTTTGCACATATTTTTCTTGAAAGAAAAATGAAAAAAAAAAAAAAAAGATCATGTTAATCGCTCTAGGCCTCTTGCCTTTAATCTCTCTAAGTTTGAAAACTGGAAAGTCAGGATGCAGGCACACCTCTCGGCTATCCACGATGAGATGTGGGATGTTATAGAGGATGGACCCATTGTGATAATGACTGTGAACACACAAGCATCCGATCAGGGAGCATATCCTGAAGTAATGATCCCGAAACCTAAATCTCAACTTTCACCTGAAGAAAGGACGAGAACAAATCTCGACAACGTTGCACAAGACATCCTCTACAAATATTTAGACGACTCGTTGTTTCCAAAAGTGCGCAAATGCAAAACTGCAAAGGAGATTTGGGATACTCTCATGAGCTTAGGAGAGGGAGATGAGCAGGAGAACGACAACAATCTCAAAATGGCCATGAAGAAGTTCGAAGACTTCAAAATGCTACCAAGTTGAGTATTGCCTTGCAAAGTATGGGATTCAAGTAGTCCATGCCTGATAATTCACTGTTCATAAGAGGTAAAGGAAGTTTATTTGTTGCTTTACTAGTCTATGTTGATGACATAGAAGTAACCCGTTCTGATCTAGCCATTATAGAAGAAGTTAAGAAGCAGTTCAATACAAACTTTCAGATAAAGGACTTAGGGCCTTTGAAATATTTTCTTAGTTTTGAAATAGCTAGACAAAAGAAAGGGATTGGCATTTGTCAAAGAAAATATGGCATTGAATTTCTCAAAGATACAGGCTTTACAGATTCAGACAACACTCAGTACAGGAAGACAGTTGGAAAATTGCTATATCTAACTATAACTAGACCAGACATCAGCTTTGCTACTCAACAACTGTCACAATTTCTTGATAAGCCTACTAATTTGCATCTACAAGCTGCTCAAAGAGTACTAAGGTACATAAAGGCAGCTCCTGGACATGGTTTATTCTTCCCTTCCTCATCTGATTTGCTGCTGAAAGCTTTCTCTGACTCATATTGGGGAGCTTGCATTGACACAAGAAAGTCTGTTACTGGTTTTTGCATTTTTTTGGGGAATGCTCTTATATCATAGAAGTTGATAAGTGCATAATTGTTCATATTTATACCACATGTCTACCCCATATTTAGCCTTTTTTTGCTTATGCAGTGTCACAATCTTGTTCAAAATGATATTTATTTTGCTCATTTGATCCATTATGCACAATTCATTATCTTTGAGTATAAATGAAGGATTTTAGATCATTTTGGATGTATTTGGAGTCAAGGGGAGCCAAGGTGAAGCCAAAGAGTGATGTTTTCAATGGTGTTGATCATATGGACAAATTAAACCAATGCAAAAGTGGAACAAGTGTCAACAAGCTGAAATTCTCGCATGGATAGGCCACTGTTCTATTTTCGAGCCATATCTCAGTCTAGAAGTATCCAAATTAAGTTAATCTTGTTCCATTGGAAAGACAACTCAAAGGGCTACAACTCCTATTCAAACATCAAAGCCTAAAAAGGAAGCCAAAGTGGTCAAAATCATGCTTGAAGTTGAAATTCTGAACTTACAGATTTCGATCAAAACTGACCACTGTTCGGTAATTTGACCATATCTCAAACTAGGAATGTCCAAACGAAGTTATTCTTCCACAATTGGAAATAACACTCGAAGGGCTAACTCTTTCACGAAGACATCAAAGCCTAATTCTGAATAAAAAAGGGTCAAAATCAGCCTACAAAACGGAGTTTTGTTGCAGAGTAGAGCTCGACGCGTCGAGATTGGGCAGAAAGTCGTGATTTTCTTACTGTAAATGTTCGACCCATTGAAACCCTCCTTCTCTGCTCTATTTTAACTGAGTTTTGACTCATTTTTTGATGGCTTTGAACCCCATTCGAACCCTAACTATTTTCTACTCTTTCCTTTCTTATTTTAGTGTTAGATTAGGTATAGATTTAGGTTCTTTATCATATTTCAAGCTTGTATTGAAGGATCTACACTTGGATTTCAAAATTCTTCCACCATTTCAATAGATAATCTTCTTTTCCCCTTTTATCTCTTTATTTTGCAATGTTTATGCTTTTCACTTGTGCTTTTGTGTTTTTTATGCTATTTAATCATGAATAGTTAGTTTATGGACTTGAGTTAGGGTTGTATTTCATATCTTGATGCTTAGTTTGTGATTATTGTAAAAAAAAGGGGAAGAACACTACCTAGGGTTCATGTGTTTATGAAGGTGTTGTGTTTATATCTTGTTAATGTTTGATGTACACATTCATTATCTTGTTTTTGGAGGATTCCTTGCCTCAACGAGAGTTGGGTGATGAATCCAAGCCACCCATTGCATAGACCCGATTTCTTCCTACGAAAATAGGGGAAATTGGGGGCATTAGATGTTTTGTGTGCTTGATTCACCACGAAATTGAAGTTTGATTTTGATGAGCATAGTTTCTTAAACTTTGAAGTGGTGAAGGTGAGCTTAAGAGAATTTATTGATGGCTACCACTTGAAGTGCTTTTTGGAAGAAAAGGTCGATGGAAAGAAGGGGATCTTCATTCTCAAATCCTTTGATGGTTTACTTGAGAGGTTGAGTCGAGCCAGCGACGTTAAACATAGCGCTTCATGGGAGGCACCCCATGTTATCTTTAAAACTTTGCTTGGATGGCTCATGTGCATAATGTTTGGTAAATTGTCTTTCCTTGCTTGAAGTTGTGATTACTCCCTCTTTGTTGGTTGGTGGTTTGTTTTGGTGGAACTTGTTTCAATTCAACTTGTGATTGATGAGCCAAGGGGTAATACATGATTAATCTATTCTCTTGCCAATAGCCTTGTTAACCACTTAATAATTGAATAAATTCTTGATCTAGTGTGTTATGCATTGCTAGTGAAGGCTTATGTGAGATTCCGATCATGGTTGTTTTGCTAGAACTTGCCTCATTACCCCCTAAGTGAAATCTAAGATTTGCATGTTTAGAAATGATTTAGGCCATTTTTGTTTAGCTCGAGCCTTTCAAGCCTACCCTTTACACATGTGTTTACCACTAGTTGTCCCCGTTGATCCTTTTGTGTTTGTTTAATAAGTGCTAAGCTGTAACACCCCGTGTTACGACCCCTAAACCCAATTAATCATTTAATCAATTATCCAAAGAAAGAATTAAATTACAATAATTAATTTGGAAATGGCCCACCATAGTCCGTGGGCCCGCACCTCTAAAACCCAACCCCTAGCCCTAAAAGGAATAGAATTAGCAAGCCTATAGTATTTAGATCCTAATTAGGAATCCTAGGTATATAAATAGGGGACATAAGAGACACCTAGAACCCTCACCACAATAATCCCTCACCACACAAGAAGTTCCAAGAATTCCCTTAGGAGAAATCAAGAAAGAAGAAAACTTAAAGAAAGACCCTTCATAGCCAAGGAATTAATTAAGGCTAAGAGGTAACCCATGTCTCAACAAAACCTATTTTCTTAGCTATGATCCCTCTTTTAGGCATCCTCATATATTCTTGCGTCTTGATGAATTGTTATGATATTGATGATGAGATCTTAATAATTGGTGATATGGTTTTATCTTGATAATCTTGATGATGATAAGAGTTTCTTGATGATTGTGTGATATTCTTGAGGAATTCGGATTCTTGATGATTATGTGATATTCTTGATGAATTGTATTGATTTCTGGATATTAAACGATAGGTTACGTTCTTGATGATTTAATTGTGATTAGAGCCCTAGGATGTAACGTGAAACTCGTATGATGTTATTCTTAATATTTTGGGTGGGAATTCGCATGTTTGGGGTGTTAATTATGTTTAGAAAGCATGATAGGATATGTGCCATATGTTTCCCGCTTTTGATCCGTTAACTGCCTACGTGTTGTCATCAATTGCGTTTAAAAGTGTCTAAGCATGGTTTCGGGTTCCACAAAGATTCCTGGGGCGTTATTGGTGAAAAAGAGTCAGTGGGGGGTAGGGGACCCGCCACCTACCCGCGGCCAGGATGGACGTCACCGGCAGCGGGCAGGCGACTGCCCGCCGGGCACCCGCTACCCGGAAATTTGCCACCGGCGGGTGACCCTTCACCCACCGGCTACCCGCTGGAAATTACCCCAACTCGGGATCCCGGCTTCCCCGTTTGTTGTTCCCCCGACCCTCGTGGTGTCCCAACGGACTCCGTCTATCGTGCCTATGTCTAGTTTGATGTTCGGGTACCATTCGTAGGTGGAATAAGTCTTATATATTGCATGCTAGTTGAATTGGTATCCCGTTGGCCTAGGTGTAAGAAGTATGAACCCCTTAGGAATATTCTTAGTATGTGGATGATCACGCATAGGTTTCGTTATACGATTTCTCCCCCTTCCCAATGTGTCAATATGGGTTGCATGTACTTGTTATGTGTTATGTGTGCATGATACCCCAATTCGGTTGCGATCGAATTGGTTATTCCTGAGCTGCGGTTCAGAAGCTGGCTGCGGTCAGATTTACACTCTCGGGCTGCGGTCCACCGTTTGGTTGCGATCAAACGTTTTACATGAGCTGCGGTTCATATTCCTGGCTGCGGTCAGTTGACTACTCTTGGGCTGCGGTCCACTGTTTGGTTGCGATCAAACATTATGATGAGCTGCGGTTCATTGGTCGGTTGCGATCGACCCCTCCGTGTTGCGATACGGGGCAGGGTGCTGCCGGGCCGTGTCAGAGCTATATGCGCTGACCCTCATGTATGGGCATGCGATTGGTCCTGTGGCGCCATCAAAGTGTGCTATGTGATGAGATATGGATGGTTTGATGAGATGATTGTTATGAAAACGTGACCATAAGATACATGCTAGTAAACTGTATATGCTTGATTATGACTACTGGCTGTGCTTATCTCTATCTGTCGAATCTGTTCCCTACACTTGTGAATTGCGCATGCTTGATTATGACTGTTGGTTGTGCTTACCCCTATCTGTCGAGTCTATTCCCTGTTTTGAAAGCTAGAGTCTCCCAGGATATATCTTCATGCTTCAAAATGGTTTTCATATATCTATGTACATATCTATATGTATTGTATTTCAACGCGTTGGAGTGGGTTACCAACATCTCTCGCTGAACAGATATATTTGGCTTTCAGGCACAGAGGAGTAGACACTGGAGCGCGCTAGGATCTTGGAGCGTAGAAGTAGATAGTTTCCCTTTCGGCCTGCGTGCCATGTTTATGCATTTACATTGTTGAGGATATTAGTTAGTTAGCATGTGCACCTGAGTTCTCTAGCTCAGGTGTGGCATAACACCCTGTACTATTTATATTATGTTTTGGGATTTAATGAGAACTTACCTCTATTATATAAGCTTCAAAAGTTTAAAAATTTTGGGGTGTTACATAAGCACTTGTATATTCATTGTGATTGTTTTTCCTTGTGTTAACCCTAATCATTTAACCCTTAACCCCTAGCCAAAATGTTTCCCTCCACCCTTGAGAGAATAGAGAATTTATTCTTTTTTTTTTTCTTGGAAGAAATCTTTATTGGAGCTTGTTTTGTAAGCAATCCTCTTGATAATTTTGCCTAAGTGTGGGGGTCTTGATTCATTGAATAAGTTGGTTGGTTGATTTGAAAAGAAATGAAAAAAATGATGTTGAGAAAATTAAAAAAAAAAGTGTTGAAAAAGAGATGAAAAGAGAAAAATGAAAAGAAAAGGAAGAAGAATAAAAGTTTGAAGATTGACTCTAGTTTGTGTTGAAAGTTGCACTCAATCCCCACTACTTTAAAGTTTTGTTTTGTGTTCCATTGTAAATTGCTCCTTAGTTTATAGATGTCATATCTCTTCTAGTTCCTATTGTGAATAAATGTGAAATTCTCTCCTTTGTTTATTTTCCATACCCCTTCATTGTTAGACATTCACCCTTAGCCCCATTACAAGCCTAATAAAGACCTACTTGATCTTAGCATGCATTCTTAGAGTTGATCTAGTGTGAGTATGAAGGGCAAGCCTATGGAATCTCATTCAAAGCAAAGTTTTGCATAATCTCAACTTAGCATTTGTACACACTTGATCATCACACACTTAAATAATTTTGGTACTTGGTTATTGGCTTGAGAATTGAACTT